CAGGCGCGAAAAACTCTCGAGGCATTCTGGATTAATTCCAGAAATCCGAAAATGAACAGCAGGGAAGAATTCCTCATTAACACGTGTGATATTGGGCGGTATATAAGCCTGTTATTCTGATGGAAGGGGCACATTACACTTCCATGTGGATTNTAGGACCCAGAGACATAACGGGGAGGACTTTAAAGTATGTGTCACGATCCTCGCACGCGAATCAAGAACACAGGCGCGAAAAACTCTCGAGGCATTCTGGATTAATTCCAGAAATCCGAAAATGAGCAGCAGGGAAGAATTCCTCATTAACATGTGTGATATTGGGCGGTATATAAGCCTGTTATTCTGATGGAAGGGGCACATTACACTTCCATGTGGATTCTGTGCGGTTGGTCTTCACGCGACATACTCAGTGGAAGCCTCATAGAAAGCGGTGAGTGTGCAAAGACTCTGTGTTCAATATGATTGAAATCTTGGTTTAGCGTTTTCTTTGTTTGGTTATGGAGGTGTCTGGCCGAGTAGATTGCCATCAACTTGACCTTTCTAGGCTCTGAGGAAGACGAAATCCGCCGAAACGTTAGCTTATTCGTGAATAAAGAATAATAACACCTTGCGTTTGCTCAACAAAAATACGAAGAATTACTTGATCAATGCCGAGGTTAATAGAAAGTCGGTCGTGGGAGTCTCCTCATTAAATTTCTTCTTAACAAGATGCCAATATAATAGAAGGTGTTTGCTCTTTATAGGAGGTAACGTCGTCCTTTTGCAGCGCATTCGCAATTAGGAAAAAATTACATTATCTGATTGCGGGTTGAAGTTCGGCCCAAGCTGGGCGAGAAATGTTATCGTCGTTCAAGCTCATCGCGTCGAAAAGTAACTGCATTGCTGCGCAGTTAAGAACACTTGGAACTTACAATCTAAACATTCTAAAGCACTTTTTCACCTACGAGACATTTACCAAGACCTTACTTTCATTAAAAGATGAACTGTTTTTCAATGTATCACTGAGGAAGAAATTATGTGGATCGTGAAGAACAGAAACCATGCGTGTTTCAAATGAACTGTTCATAAAAAAGTCTATGTGTAATCATAAAATTTAAAATTATCATTGCCATTTAACCGCTCCGTTCTTATCACTTCTTTTCACTCAGTCCGTTGAAAAACCGTACCCCAACCACAATGGCTGATATGCTCGCAATCCGAAGGACCGGTGCAGACTTATTTGTTCATGATCCGGAATATTCGAAATTAAATTCTAATTGGAAACCAAGATCCACGAAAAGTAAACATATTGGCATAAGGAGGAATGAGGAATTGTGCGGATATCTAAACCAAAGAAATCATATTCATGAAGTGAAGGAAATGGAGAGTTTTCAGTTGGTCATGTTTTGAGTTTTCACTGATTACAGCATGTGAAGGTTATACTTCATCTTTCGATAAAACTGTATTTAGTCTCTACTGGTTTTTCATTCTTGTGAATGCTAATAAATGTGAATTTTTCATTTACATTGTTTCTAGACTTTTAAGCAGAATGACAAGTACACATGTTTCACTTCCACACCAACACGTATCTATTAGAATCTGATCCACATAAAATTGACGCGACCGTCTGAAGTGTTAACCAGCTAGGAAGGAAATTTACTCACCCTTTTACCATTGCCACTAATGAAACGTAATTGGGTATAAATGCGATGCATTTGTCCTTTAAGATTGCGTCGATCATTCGTCTTGAACAAGACTCAACACTCATGAACGGAAACCACCTGAATTTCTTCCATTATGTTCAATTTCATGGACCTCTATAGTTGTTGACCAGTTTTGGAAGCGTATTACGAATTATTTCCGACTGCCCTCTAAAACACTTTAACAAGAAATACGTCACTCTAAATAAAACCTATGCCATGGTCTTCTCGAAAAAATTAGTTGACAGGCTGCTTCATTATTTCCATTTTTACACGACTGATCGAGTATCAGATCGTAGTAACTCCGCTCATTACGGGAAGAACCCAACCTATCCAGGCGCCGGTTCGACCCTTCACCCGTCAAAGCCTCTGATCTCTCTGCTGTCGGGAAATTGGTACTAGTCTTGTCTGGGACAAACTCACTCCTTCACACAGACGTGGAAACGCCGCCGCAGTTGTGTGAGGATGCCAGGGAGAATTGATGTGAGCAGCATTCAACGATAACCGCGACGAAGAAAAATTCCTCGATCGTCACCCAAACCAACACGCAAAATTTTCCAAGTTCTTCAGGATCGGCGATAAGTGGAAGTGAATCGAACGGGTAAAGTACTGGGATCTGCACAAAGTGATATACGTTGTGTCGGATAAAGCACTAATTAGTAACAATGAAGAATAAAAAGGTTAAAGCTCTTGGCATTGATCAATTCCTGAGGGATGCGCCATACATTCGACTGCATTAACCATCGCTTGGAGGTGACTGGAGCATATTTGGTCTTCACATTGGCTCGCAATGGCCTACCAGTGCATCAAGTCAGTGCTGTTATCCCCCAGACAAGTCTGGTACCACTTTGCGGACCCCGGAGGGATGGAAGTCTTGGTCGACTATGGGCGTGAATATCGACTTCACGTGTGTGTTGCCGTGCGTCTCCAACCACTGCGCTACACGCGCCTCTCGTATAGGTGTAGTGCTCCAAATGTAGGTGATAACACCAGCGAAAGGCAAACTTTCAATGTAAATATGTATCTAACGTTCATCGAAGCCTGTTGTTACGGTGATGTCGTAGATGGTAGAGATGTAAACTTTTTAGGTGGGTTGAGCATCAACTTGACGAATTTCATCTCCTTTACGAATATCGTTGAATCCTGATCCAACGGATTCTTCCTAGAATGCTAAGAGAGCCATGATATAAAGTTCCCACTCAGATTAAAGAAAATAAGGTAATCTCAGACAAATATGGCACCAATTTCCCAACTCCGAAAGGGATGAGAGGCTTGCTGGGCTAAAAGAAGGATTGGACCATGGCTTTCTAGCAATGAACAGCACCACTACTACCGCCCTAACCGCTCCTTATCTTTCTATTTCCTTAAGCAAAAATTGTCTAAGGATATGTGATTCGAAAGCGTTGGTAGAAAGTGGGTCTTAATTCGCATAGGCAGGATTTAAAAACAGGTTAGGGCGCTCGGTAAAAAGCGTAGGTGGGAAATGGATAGGTAAAAGCAGTCAAGTCTTCAAATAAACGTATAATAACAACAACGCCACTTTACAAAAATACATATATTGGCAAATTTCTGCTACACACCTGCTTTTCTAAATCACTAGGTTCTTTGAAGACACCTATAAGACTAATAATCTACGAAAGAATTGCCCTGTATAGAAAAAAGCTTCAAATATGTATGTGTCAGCTCACAGCAAGTTCTCACAATTGAAGGAAAACTATTTAAACCCAAAGAATTTGTCGCTGAAATGCAAATTTAATTACTCTATCATGATGACGACTTTTCTGGAAGCAATGAAAAATCTGAAGACTTGTTTAGCCAATTTTCCGATTCTCTAACAATTCACTAGGTGAGTGAACCGTTCCGAACTGTTGCTTCACGTCATGGTTCAACTTTGTAGAAAAACTGCTCGCATGTGTTTTGTTTTTTATTTTTACTGTACTGGGTTCAATTTACCACAAATTAACGTAAAATGAAATTTGAGAGACTAAGATTTTACAGTGGAATTCGCCTTTAGAGACTTTGTACAGTATGATGATAAAAGCAACACTTTGTTTTAAAATGAAACGTCAGAGTTTCGATAGACGAAAATGCAATTGGTTTTTTAAAGCCTAACAAAATGCTAGGTTAAGAAACTTTTTCAGTGTCATAAAGAGAAGAGGGATATGAGGAGAACACTTACAGACAAGTTGGTCTCATTCCTACATTGAGCACCATTGGTGTTCGCGCGAAGTATGGACATAACTGCAAGAAGATTTCTTGACTGAGTGATTTCATTATACGTTCAAAATGGCAGTAAACCACCGAAAAGAATTACTGGAAAATTACTGAGAAACACAATTAGGGCTTTAAGTATAACCGTTTCACAATGTTTTACTTTTTATTTTCTGCCTTCTATAATTTCAATGGCAGGGTATTAAGCGAAATACAACCACAAGATTGCTGAGATTTTGCAAAACTCCGGACCGTAGGTGTCTGTGGTGGAGAAAGAACGTGCTATTGTCCTTTCCCGGGAGTAACGCGTTCACCACCACAACATTCGGGTCTTTCGTTTCGCTTGTCTCTCAGCTAGTTTTTTTGGATTGCTGACGACACTGATCGATGGAACTAGCTGAGATACAAGTGAAACGATGGACCCGCATGGTGTGGTAGTGAGAGCTTTACTCCCCGGAAAGGATAATTGAGCGTTCGTTTACCACCTCTGGCACCTGCGGTCCGGAGTTTTGCGAATAGCTCAGCAATCTTGTGGTTGTATAACCGCTTTAGTTATATTGCAGTATTACACAAAAGCAGGTGTTTTTAGTGGTATTTAGACTAATCTCAACTATGAATTGTGCTGGTCTTCTTCTCATAGCAAAGGTAGATGGATTAATAATTTCTTTTTCACGAGACGTTTTTCAAATCTACTGGGCGGATCTCAGCACTTCTCGCATCTTGTTCGTTCCTTTGCATCCATTACTCACGAAGAGATGCCAACTTTTTTTGTGTGGATTCGGCGGTTGCTTCACGATTTTTCTTTCAACATAAATTCCACTGAGTGCTGATCGAGTTGATTCTTCCTGGAGTCCTGAGATAGCCGCGCTATAGTGTTTCCACTTTAACTGCAGAACGTGAACTTTTCTCAGAGAAGCCCTGCAACAATTTCTCGCCTCTGAAGGGCTGAGAGGCTAGATAAGCTCGGAGCGGGGTCGAACTAGTGCCATGTTCATAATGATCGGCATCATTGCCACCGTGTTACCACCCTTGAATATACAATATATTGAAGCTCAGAGACTGGTTTATAATACAGTCTTGTTAAGCAGAACTAAAAAACCTTTAGCAAGTGAAGCTAAGTGTATCAATCAAGTCAAAAGGATAGAATCATAATGTGCATAATGTGGTAGTGAAAGAGAATTGTTCTCTGCTGAAATAACACACCAACCGTACAAAGTTTCTAATAACGGAAGCTTTTGAAAATAGAACACATATTGTTTTTACCGTCGTACACACGATTCCTTCTAGTCCTCGATCTCTAAGTTCCACTTGCAAGCACTCCATTACAGCGCGCACAGCAAATTTTGTAGGGCTAAAAATGTGGTGTTACACGACAAAAACACGTTTTCCAACTTTTACAAGAACAGGTTTCCTCTCGTCAAATACGATATGACGTTGTTTCAGATATATTCAAGTATTTCACAAGTTTTTATCTAGGGCAAATAAGGTATATCGACAGGATTTGCAGATTATTTCTCAACGCCCTGCTAGATGGGTACACATTTGGCTGCACAGTTTAAAAGTGTTTATGTTTTTAGAATGCAGAGCGTATTATTAGAATAGTGTGTCATAAATTTGCTTTATACGATTTTAACTAATTCATCAGCACTAAACAGTAAGATATTAGGAAAAACGGTGAATGATGCTTTGGGTCTTGTGTGAATAAAATTCTACATCTACTTATAAGTACGAGTTAGGCTGGCAGATGTGGTCTGTTATTCATTTCTTTCCCTGTTCTTTCTTCTCTTTTGCTTCACGGAGAATTTTTGCTGGGCTTTTTCTAGTCTATCTATTTACATATTCAACACTGTTCTGTGTACCATGTGTCGGACCAAAAATATTGCTTTATGCACTCAGTAGTTCGAAAAAATACTTCGCTTTTGCTTCTTTTTACCTGAAAAACTATGGATACTGTTGTTTGTGAGCAGGGTAGAAATATAACAAGGGCATCAATAGTGTAAAAGTTACTACTATCCCTTCTTGCCCGCAGACTCCGCATGTGTCCAGCTGCGAATAACTAATCTTTGCATTGACGGAGTAGCAAAAAGATCTTGCCAATGACGACTGTATGTATAACTAATATGTGTAATGGAATGGACAGAATGGCCGACGTTAAATGGTCCCAATTCACAACACGCGATCAGAAAAATTGTCAGACCATAAGTGTTAATGATTAAAGGCTTGGTAAAATAGCAAAGGCTTCTCATCAAGCCGTTATAAGAAAAAAATTTCTCATAGACTACCTTAAATTGCTTAGTAACAATTTGTCAAGAGGAATTCAAGGCTAAAGAGAGCCTTGTCAAGCTGTCAAATTTATTGGAAGCAACAGTGCCTGATCCGAAATTAGACGTCGGTAACTGAGCACCTCACTAAGTCCTACCAGTAAGCGAGTCCAAATGTTTCTCCTGAGAAGCCTGCAATGGATGATACCGCGACTATTTGTCCGGAATTTTTTTCCTCCATCGGTTTCAGGAAGGCACGAATCGTCTAAAACATTAACATGGCGCATTTTCATTGGATCATAAACTGGCTCATACACAGTGTCTTTAAGAACAATTTCGTTTATCTAAAACGTGTGCATGAAGTTGGCGTGTTGTAATCAGCAGTCAGACACTTCTAATGCATTTTTTAAGCGGAACAGTTCATTTCGTGACACAGTCTGCTCAAATTCTTCTTGTTTCATTCCCATCTCACAAAATAATGTCTGCATATGGACCCGCCATTGTTCTGTCGCTGATCCAACTATTTAGCGGTGACAAGTTGACCGTTACGAATTAGTTTCTACTTATTTTCGTTGTGGCGATTTACCGCTCTTTTGTGCTGAACTTTTATGGATCTAATCAATGAATTACCCAGCAAAGATGTAACAAGAGATGGGCTAGAAAAGATATGAACTCTGAGAAAGCAGTGATTGTGAATCTGCTACCATTTAGCTCCCGATAAGTTTTTTTTTTTCAAACCAACATGGTTTTCTTAAACTACGCTTAAGTTCCACGCTTATTAAATTCACTTTCAGCTCATTTCCTGCTGTCACAACTATGTCCTTGCTTTGCCATTTGTAAATACTACTGCATTCTATTCGAGCTTGGTATTAAAGCATTAGCTTGCTCAACTGAAAAGAAACTCACATTTATAGTGCCAAGAACATTGACTTCAAGGGACTGTCGCAGTTGCTCAACTGTCAGTTCCTTGAAGAGTGCAAATGATAGAACAGCAGCATTGCACACAACAATGTCAACACTTCCTGAAGCTTTGTTTCACAGTGAAATCATGAATGAGAATATAAATGTCAATCTATAACTGAGTACAGCGCTTTAAAATAGAAGACGTACTCCAAAAAAGCTGAGAAAAAGGAAATTGCTTTAGAAGCTTGAACTAACCATGCTCTTCCCGTATTTTTTCCGCTGCGATTTTCAAATCATCTTCAAATCTTACGTCACAGTAATACGCAGATGCTTGACCGCCCTTCTCAACTATTGACGTCACTGTCTCTTCTGCTCCTTGCTAAACGTTAATTCTACATGTCCCACTTTTGCAAAAAAAAAGTTTGGCTCGAAAACTGACAATATTGATGTCGAGTATGACAATCTGTGCACCTTTCTCGAGCGAAAGTATTTGAGCAATGCATTTCCCCAGACCAGAAGCGCCACCAGTTATAACAACAAGCTGTCCCTTTACTTTCTTGAAAAAAAATGTAGGTAAGTTGAAAAAGCAAAACTAGAAAGAAAATACAACTATACAGCATCATTCGAGAAAAAAAAAATTCTTTCGTACCTTTTCACTTAATGTAATCCATCTTATTATATCCTTTGGTATATCTATCAGTATGAGATGAACAATAACACCGATGGTACTTAATATTTTGAACGACCATTTGTTGTACATCAAAAATATTTCGAAAGATACCCGTGCTGGTTCTATAAAAATCACACTAAAATATGCAATTTTTAGCGAAATGAAGCTCCAGGAAAACAGACGAACCAAAAAATCGTAGAGTTTCACTTATAACAGGAACTATTCCACGTGGAATAGTTTTAGGGTCAAGGCTGATCTCCGAACGCGACAATGTAACGAAAACCAACGGACAAAGCGGCGCTGTGTAGTCTATAAAAAATACTGTATTTCACAGAAATTCAAGCAGTACATAGAAGAAAATTACGGATTCAGAAAACGAATTCTTAGAGATCGTTACCTATAATTGCCCTCTCTAACTGCAACGTTTCAGGAAATTTCTCTCTTTTTTTGATAATTAGCTGTCCACTTCAGTGACTTTTCTCAGCCTCCATTCTGGGGTTCTTTCAACATAAAAATAGTAAACTGTACGAAGCTCTTAGAAATCTAGGCTGTGTATTTCATGATTACCGATCGTAGCAATTGTAGGAAGCTTCTAGAGTTTTCCACAAAGCCCCTGAACTGTTTTGCGTGATGGCCCAGTCGAATACGAGCAATTTTATGTCGGCTGCGAACTTTCTGGTTTTTCAACAATGATGAAATTCTTTAAGAAAAAGAGTGCTTTAAGGGTTGTGAGCATAACAGAATTGTAGAAGAGACTTTCATCTATCGTACTTTGGGTATGAATGACATGTATGTTACCACTTACCGGGCGTTGCTATGTTCCATCGCACAAGTATATTGTCATCAGCACTTTCAAGTTTTTGGAACACTCTACTCAGTCTATTTCACAATTTTCCTCGGGTTCCATGCAATAAGCATAATTATTAATATGAATTATTTGTGAATTGTTAGGCAAATTACTGGCCAATGAACTTGAACTCGAAGAAAGTTTTTTGTAAATCATTAGGAGTAAGGAATGATTTTTCTGATCTCACACCTACTATTTTAATCAAACTTAGACTAGCAGTAAAATCAATGTAATACTGGGGTAGAAAAAAGTGTGTGGAAATCACTAGAACGAATATGGACACTATAGTGTCCATACGTCGCTTGTTTCAAAGGGCTATGGGCACTCTAGATACTGTCCGTATGGGGTATTATTTATTACCAAGGTTATCGAGGTACGATTGAGGTAGAGTGGTATTTTTCCCCAACTTTTTGGTCCCCTTCAAAATCTCAAAAGCAGTCCGAGATTCAAAACCTTATTCTGTTCCAAAAAACCTTTTAACCTCTTTTCAAATCCACCTATATTTGATTTCACCAAAATGAACGAAAATTATGCAGGGTAATAAAGAAACGGACGAAAAATTCCAAATGATGTTGACGTTGATTGTACTGGTGACTCTTGAAATGAAAGCAACCGGCATTCACTGTTTACCACGAAGGCGTACAAAGTATCACAACTCCTACAAGCTGTCGTTGCATACGTGGCTGTCAACACATTTTTTTTTTGGTTATCTGAGAACAACGCTGCCACTATTTTGCACTTCTCAGGGCAATTTTCTGCTGCCCAGTGTTAATGGGTCGACACCACCAGTTTATTACACGCATCAAATGATTAACAACTTCCATTAGTTTATTCTGATCAAAGCGAACCGATAAGAACAGAATAACTTTGATTCCGAAGATAATTGAAAACGGTCATTGGAATTCCTGAAATTCCATAAATTGCAAAAAAAATAGCCCGAAGTTCATCCTTACTAAAGAAAACCGCTGCTTCTTGTTCAAATCTGGAATTCTAGTCACTGCCAGTGCAAACAAATTCGAATTACTCAACGTCTTCTCTTCAAGGGAAAAATGGTCACTTCAAATCATCTTCGTTTCCACTAAACAGTTCACAAATCTGATCTACCTCGTGTATTTATGAAAATGTGGAGCTTTAAAGCACACGACTGTACAGTATTTCTAAGATAGTTTCTATTTAAGTTCTACTTAAGTAGCCAAGTAACTTCGTTTTTTCGTCTTTAGTTTAGCGCCAGGCAATGGTGGCAAGAACGCCTTTCATTAGTGGAAAGAAAAATGTCGAAATATTATGTCCACACTATTCTATTAAGACTGGCTTTTTCGTGAGTCACCATCAATATTTTTTCTTGTTCTGTTTCATCACTGCAAGCACATTCCTTAGTTAGCACTGTTAATAGGCATAAAAGCATTACTTTTACAAAGAGCTTAAATATCTCAAGCACCTCATCCGGAGATATATTCGGACCTTCTTCCCTCAAAAAGCGAGGGAGCACTGGCAGACTCTTTAACAAACATAATATTGTCTCCAATTAGGCTTCTGTTTGTGCACACCTCCATTATGTTAAGAAACTTATTTCTTCCCTTGGTTTTCTTCAACTTATAGGAATTTTCTAACGACGATCACTAAGCGTCGAAGTGCGGCTGGAGTACCGCAAAGCAGTAACACTGCGAAAGTGACAAGTTAGCAATTTGATTTGCATAAAGGTTGCCAACTTCTTCATATGTCGTACCAAGATCCCATTGTTAAACAGTTAAGCCCCTGATTACAAATAATTAACGCACCAAACAACGTTTTCAGAGCAATCAATAAAAAAGTGTTTTAAGTCTTTTAAAACTCCGCTTCATCCGCTATGAAGAAAGGTGATACTCTACGTGTGTGCAAATTGTTGAACTTATACGAGATTCATAAAGATGTTTATCCAACAAGCCTTTCGACCTCTTCGACTTCATCAAAGTCGATGATTCGAGTCAGTAGTCCATTATTGTTCGTCTTCTCGATATGGCGTCTTCGTCTTCGTTTCGAGTCGGATTTTCTTCAATGGAGTGAACAAGTTGAAGCAGGTCGTTATCACTGGATAATCACTATTATCAACATCTATCGTCGTCTTGTACAGAACAGCATCGTTGCCTGATAAGTTTCATTCGAGCGATTCAAGTGGGTAATTAACCGTTTCCATAAGCAATATTAATGCAATAAAAATAACAACACGAGACTAACGTTTGGAAAGATCCACACAAGCACAATGACTAAGTTTAATGTATCACTGAATAAAATGGTATTTGCGTAACCTATAACTGAGGTGAACACTGGTTATGTGAGTGGACAGCCCAACTATTGAACTCGAAACTCGAACACATGAACAAAGAAAGCAAACAGAAAATTGCTGATATATTAATAGTATGTGAGCGAGTGAAGAATAAGTCATGACGCTGTATATATATATATATATACATGTATATATATGTATACATATATGCTTATTTCGCGCGGGTGGACTTTGGTACACTTTCTACACTGCATGTCACGAAATCGTAGCCGGCTATCATATTAGGAAAACAGTGGAGAATTGAAATCAATGCAGGTATAGTGTGATTATATGAAAGGATAGGGATTATTCACTAAATTACGGAGAACACTCTCAATATTACCATGTCCAGCTTTCTATTAACCTCGGCATTGATCAAGTAATTCTTCGTATTTTTGTTGAGCAAACGAGAGGTGTTATTATTCTTTATTCACGAATAAGCTAACGTTTCGGCGGATTTCGCCTTCCTCAGAGCCTAGAAAGGTCAAGTTGATGGCAATCTACTCGGCCAGACACCTCCATAACCAAACAAAGAAAACGCTA